CTCTAAACAACACAAAATTATTTTACCCATAGTTAACTTAACTCTTAATAAACGCATAAAATCTTTTTGAATAATGAAAAAGTATTGAAATGCTAGCACGAAATGCTTCTTCAAAAACTTACATAGCTGCAAAAATCTGGATTTAAACAGTGTAACTTAACTGCGATGCAACTTCCTCAAAATGTAAATTTGGTCGCGAAATAACAGAATACAAATAACAGGTAGAGTAATGCAATTAAATTACAAGCTTCAAGGAATTTCAAACCAATTAATAATTACCGTGGTTTCTAAATACAGCAACGTGCAGCCAAACATGCATAAATTTGTAAAGCGTTCAACGTAAATATTTAATGATAATGTACACAACCTCTCTAAACGTTAAGCAGAATATTTAAGCGATAAACGTCGTTGAGTTTAGAGCTGACTCGTAAGTGTTAAAATTAGTTTCAAATTCGTTGGATTACAGTTAAATCATGTAAATAGTTTGATTAAATGGCCAAGGTACCCAGCTCGGGATACACAAACAGGTTAACTTCAAAAGAAAAAAAGTGGCAGATGTTCACCAGAAGGAACTATAATGCTTTGGAGCCAAGTTCATTTTTCTAAAATTCGCTGCTTAGTAAAAGTGGGGATTTTTCTGTGAAATTTTCTAAGCTTGCGACAAACTAAGCTTTCTTAGTTTATGGGGTAAGTAAGCTTTCTTAGTTTTATGGAGCATTCTAACTTACAGTACCCAGCCCATCAGAGCCGGTAACTCAAGGTCCATAATCCAGGCCAAGAGTACTGTTCCTTTTTCAACGAGAACTCACCGTAATTTATATAACTGGCTTGTTTGCATTCCATGACCAAGAATTTTCATCTTAAAAAACCTATCAATATTTTAATGTTATTTAAACCTACTTATACCTAAGTAAGTGGTATATGCTGTGTGCAACAACCTTAAATTCCTCCATAAATTTTATAAATTATTCACTGAATATTTATTATCTTTCTACAGAAACATTTTAATGAAGCTTTATTTTTATTACTGTAATTCTACTTTTATATGAAATTTTACCTTGTTATTGTAAACTTGCAATACATGCTGTACTTTGCACATCCTTTAAAATATTTGAAACTTTGAGATACTTAAAATAGGATCTGAATCCATATTCATCATGTAATATTTTTCAGATCTGTTGAAGTATCATATATGAAAACGTAGGCCATATATCAATGTCCATTATTCACTAATTCGTTATGAGCTGTACATATACGCATATTCAAAGCTGGCTTATTCTAATCCAGGCTACGTGGTATAGATTTCGAATATGGGACTAATGTTTGAAAACAGTTTGTAGAGTTATTAGGTTTATTTGAAGAAGAGGGTTTGAAAAATGAGCCATACTGTTATTGAAATTCGAGCTTTGCATCTTACTTTTGGAAGTTCCTTATTACACTAATTACACAAAGTAGGCTCGTGGTAAAGGGACAGAAAATACATTACTCTCACTTCCACTTAAAGGGGGACCATTGGGATGCAATGTGGATTCAATCGCCAAATCTTCATAGTGAGAATTTACGTTCATCACCTTTTAGTTGAGGTGTGCAGTCATTTGGTTTTCTTCGAGGCAGGAAGGGATAAAAATGTGCAGTGCCCTCGCCGGGATTCGAACTCAGGACTTCGCAACTGCCGGCCGAAGGTGCTTCCAATTACATAATAAAGGCACACGGTAAGAAGCACAAAAACGCCAATTATGAGTTAATAGTACGGTCTAAGGATATGAATTGCCAATCAAAAATAAAAATGATGAAAGTTAATGACAAAAATGGACATGAGTATCAAAACGTGCAGAACTAACTTCGACGATTTGAGCACATAATATTTCAACTGCTGGGACGGAAATGAAGACGAAGATGAAAATCGCACAGAAGATGAGACATTCTTGAAAGTTTCGTTTCCCTACGCAATTCTCGTCGGTAATTTGCGTTTCGTTTCAAATTAGAAGGAACTAATTATTTGATTATTAGGCCTGAATCTATCTCCTCGCCCACCTCTGGTGTCTTAGAAACTTTCTTCTTTCAGCAAATGATAGCTTGCTAAATTATTAAAAGTTTCAAGTTTCAGAATATGGTCTGTTTGCATTTGATTTATATTTTACTGTAGATAAAGCATGCAGTATAACTGTGGTTAATTCAAAGATGGGGGAAACTAAAACCACATTTTGAGTGACAAAAAACTTAAAATGTCGAGACAATTGGTAAACATTTTGTCTAAGAAATGCTGCAGATTCTGCATATAAATATATTTAATAAAGAAAGGCAGAAGTTTGCTTATTTATTAAGTTGGTTACGCTTAAATATATGAGTGATATCTGTCTAACGGGAAGAATAACCTAGTGGAGGAAGTTTAAGGGAAAACTCCTATTCACGTTATGCATTGAAAACTACAAAATGCCTATACGTGTTCAGGGATTCGAATCATTCCCGAACTACCAGTGATCAATGAATTTAGTCACTGATGAACGCAAAGAAATATGTGTGGTAGGTTAGCTGAAGATGATATCCTAGGGTTAAATAACATTTCCAAACGTTTTCCCCACCACAGGCATTTAATGAAAATAACAGAAAAGGTACAGATTGAATCGAATCACAGTGCCGTTGGATACAAACAACGTTCTGCATAATTTTTATATATTTTAAATAGATACTTGGCGCCTACTCGCGCTCGCTATCATATGCAGTTCAGTTACCACCACCGCTTAGAATCATACAGTTCTATAGTTGCCACCTTCGCACGGAGACGACATCTTACCACCTTCGCGTGGAATCGTCCACTGTCCATATGTCATCCTCCTTTTTCACCTTGCTCTCGCTGCAGGCGCATAGGTGATGCCCTCTGGTGGCTATGTAGAACTAACTGTTACCACATATGTGTGGTGCTTATGCATTTTTAGAACAATTTTGTGGCCGCATGTTTTCGTTTGAAATGTAAAGAGCATTTTTTTAAAATGTTCGATGTTATGGAATTTGTTTTGGACTATAAGCGTGCATCGTGATTTGTATGATAGGAGGGAATTTCGTAAAATTTCCGAGGGTATTGATATCCATTTCTCTTCCCCAAGTTTCCATAGTCCATTAATCATGAGGTTGAGCTTAAAAGCAGCACATTTCAAGAGACCAAAGACACAATAGTCCAAACGTGAAACGTCAGAGGGCTTTGCAGGAATATGTTAACTAAGTGCATATGCTATTATCTGTGTCAGATTTCATTTTTTCAAGGACTGCAGTCGTACGTTTCGAAGTATGGGTTGTTGCTTTGTCTTGATGAAGTTTTACTCTTTGGTCGCTAGAACAAAGATGCATAACTTCTGCAAATATTGGACGTAAAACGTTCTTTTGATAGTACAGTAAGTTGATTTTAGCATTTATTTTCACTTTTTATTTTTAATTTCCCTTTGAAACAGTGTAGTGTCGTGTGGCTTCAACTTGTCAGCAATTGTGGTAGTGACTGCTATGAAGTTTGAATTTACACAGACACGTAAGAAGGGTTCAAAGCCCTTTTTATTCAACTTTAAAAATGACACCTGCGTCCACTTGACTCTCACAAACTACGCCGACCCGGCGGTTTAACTGAAACAGAACGTAAAACTGAACAATAACGACTGGATGAATAAAATAGCGAGATCACTATCCCCGAGCCTCTGAGATCTTAAACTAACCTAACCGCGTTCTAAAATACCGCTGAGATTCAGTGAGCTTACTAATTAAGCAGTTGAAAGATTTATCAAAAACTGCCGAGATAGGCACACAGGCCGAACGCGCGATTATTAAATTTCTACCTAGCAACCTTCACGTTCGCGATTCAAGAAGCACACCTACAATCTCGTTTTCCTTCTATTTAAACTCAAACTTAATTCTGCTAAATTTGAATATACTGCGTACTCTACTACAATTTACATACTCTAGCATTGGCAATTCTAGGGTAAAGTAAAGGCTTGACAGGAAAGATAGCTGAAAATAAATGTTAGTTAAAATAAATATAAACCCTACACCTGCGACAATCAAAAAGCCCTTAGGAAACTTTCTTTGCATTGAAGGAAACAGGTTTGTGCTTTTGTTTCTCCCCGTTTCTGTTAATAAATCGACACTGTTTTTGAAGTTATTTAAGTAAATCAATGCTTCATCAAATACCACAATATATTTCCATTTATCTCCTGCTGAACAGTTTTCGGACAGGAATACATAAATTGTTCCGTATTGAGCCATATGTATTCGCAAAAGGAGGGTGAATATCATATGCTTTTAACTTTTCAAGTTGTAAATCTTGGTTTAATATTTTATTTATTGTTGCTAAAGATGTAGTTATTGATTAGCAATCGATTTCTGCGTCGGCGGAGTTTCTCTTGTTGTTAGTGATTAACTCTCCTTATCGCATTTCTCTGATTTGTACTGTAAAGTTGCAGCAACTGCTAACAAGAAACGACATGTAGCTAGCTTTAATTACTGAAAGAAGTCTGGTGAAGGTGTTCATGTTAAACACTTAAAACAGCTGTTTAACTAGCAACTAAAAGCTGAGTACAATCGTTTTAGATAACAAGGAGACAGTAGCAAGATTGGATCTTCCTGTTGTCTCCTTGACAACATTAGAATGGAATATCTAGTCCTCACCTCAGTGTTGAGGTATCACCAGAGCCATAGGCTAAAAATATTTAATAATCCAGCAATAGCTAAAGATTTTATACTAACATTTTAAAGATTAAAACCTAGCATAAATTTTGAAGTCCGCTAACTAGAAGATGTATTGGCCTCGCCAACATCTTTATTGAGATTTAAATGCGAAAATTACAATGATGAATTGAAACATCAAAGAAAGAGATAATAATTATATAGTAATACAAAGAGAATATAGATTCAATAATACAGTAAGATCAGAAGTACAAATATTACAATTCAATGCATTTTGAATAATACAATTTATAGGATTATATAAAACATTTATAAGCCATTACATTATAATATTAGACATAGATTATGTTTTTATTAGAATATATATATTCCATAAGTTTAGATAATTGAATTCGACCTTTTTCCAATAACATTAGTTTACACAGAAGATCAAAATTTAGAGTTTGAGGAAATAGTTCTTGTCTTTTACTGTCCAAACTCGGGCAGTCTAAAATCATATGAAGTGCATCTGCTGTATCTAAGCCGCAGGGACAGCGACTTGGTGGATTTTTGATCTTGAATCTGTTAAAATAACTGGGAAAGGCTCTGTGATTCGAGAGTATCTGATTTACAAAGAAATCATTAAAGTGTCTTCTCTCAGAAATTTTAGGAAGGATCTTGAAGGTAGATCTACCAGTTTCTTCTTCTTGCCATCGACGTTGCCACAGAATGAGAACTTGTTCTTTTGTTTTACGCACTATACTACGGAGTGGAATTTTGCAATTAATTCTCTCCGTAGAGGATATTCCTTTTTTATCAAGTTCATCTGCTTTCTCGTTTCCTCTATAACCGCGATGGCCTCTTATCCAATGTAATTTTACTTTAGTAATGAAGGCGAGCTTTTTAACTTTGATGATTTCTGAGTTTAAGATGTCAAACTTTGCCAATGATTTCAATACCGCTTGGCTATCCGTGTGTAAGTGGGCTTTATATTTGTGATCCTTTAGCCATTGAAGAGCTGATTTCATCGCTTGTGTTTCCGCTTGATATACGGAACAATTTTGATCCAATTTATATGAATATTCAGATTTTAGAGTGCCATTCCAATAGACACAGAATCCTACTCCTGTGCCTTCATCATTCTTTGATCCATCCGTAAATACTTCATAATTTTTATTAGTTGGTAGACGGTCATTCCATTCACAAGTCTTAATCCATGCTGGGTGAGTATACCATTTATGCTCTGGAAAGTCCGAGAGCTTCTTTGAGGAAAAGTTGAGATTTTCAAATGAGAAGTCTGACCAACCTCTTTTAGTCCTTTGAATTGCACTTTCCTGGTCTAATTTGATGTCCAGTGGTATTAGGCCTGCTAGAATCTGCAGGGCCGAGGTTGGGACAGTTTTATAACATTTGGTCATGGCTAGTAAAGCCACTCGTTGTATAGTATTTGCTTTGTTACGCATTTTAACTGTTGGTGGAAACCACCAGGCTGCACAAGCATAAAATGCAGTCCTTTCGATTGCTCGTTTATAAAGTTCTTTCATGACCGCTTTAGATAAGCCAGGAAATTTCATTAATCTGTTAATTATTTTGCAAACCTTGGTTTTGATGCTAGATGATTATGAATGCCCTCAGTGACGAATATTTGCGATAGCAAAAATTGCTTTATTTGAGAGTACAACGTTAAAACGTGTTATTCTTCACTTGAAAATTCTAAGCAAATAACTTGGTTAACCAAGCATTTACATTAAGAAGCATTTACAATTTATATTGAAGATAGCTTTTAGCGATTTTTCTACAAAGTTACACTCTTAATCAAAGTTGAATCGGTATGATTGAAGTATAAAGAAATAGAAGGTATTTCTCCCGCCTTCTTGGCATGCCTTCGTGGTGTGGTGGTTTGCACGCTGGGCGCGTATTCCAGAGGTCCGTGGTTCGATTCCCGGCAAAAGCGTTGCTTATTTGTCATCTCTCCTGCTTCAAAAAATAAATAAATAAATAAATAAAAGGTTGAAGAATAGAGTTGGAAACGTTTTCGGAATTTATTTTTATTTTAGACAAGTTATTTAGTAGTTAGTTTAATACTTTAGAATTAATTGAAAATTCAATATTTAACTGTCAGCACGTCTGAATTACAAAGAGTAACCAATTTAGGCTAAAACGTGCAATAGAGCGTTAAGATACGTTTGAGAGATAATGTTTCATTCGGGTACCTAGTTCGAAAGACTTCTGAAGTGTTAAAGTTTCCCTCAAGGTAAAAGTTAAAGAAAGTATTTGATAAATTTAAAAGTAGAAATTGGTGTTGCGCAAATTCGAAATGTTTCGTGTAGCTAGACGTGCTCATATAAGAGCGATGGCGCAAAGGTCTGATGAAGCCACGATATTGGAAAAGAATGTGTTGGTTCAGCGAAATTTGATTCCAGGCAAGGTACTGTTGTTTTAGACGGATATGGCCAATTAATACATTTATTTAAGGTAACACTTAAGACAAACTTAACTTTTGATGGGACGGGGAGAGTATTCAATTTTATGGAGAACGGACTCATTCGTATTTTTGGATTATGTTACTATATTCCTGTACCTTGATGAACGTGTTAAGCTTAAAAAAATTAATAAATGGTGATAAAGAAACATGATATTCTGACGCGAATCGTAAAACAAACTATATAAAAACTGCATAATATTATACAGTTTCTTTCGGAACAGACGACGGAAATGAAAATTCCACGTCTTTAATACTACTGTAATGTATTTCTTATAATTTTAAAGGAACAAAACGATTCCCGCTACTGAAGGGTTAAAGGCTCTAAGCGTTTCTATGAATTAGTTGATCAAAATATGTCGCTTATTCTCGACCTGAACTGCTGGAGGTTTTTGCGCTTCTGCGTAAGGTACGCTGTCAAGGAATTACGCGTGTTTCAATTTAGCATAACTTGCTGTTTTTCCGATGGGGATAATCAAAGGGCATCCTCTTTTTGTTCGCTAGCTGTGTCAATAGTGAATCCTATGAAAGTGATCCGTTGGTTTTCACTGCGAGATTTTCACATTGACATTACATTGGGCTGTAGTCTTCAGGAGAATTCGCCTTGAAAAGAAAGTGAATGGTGGCTTCCAAAGGTGAAAACGTCCTGTGGGGGAGGATCCTTTTATTACCAATGTGGGATTTTCATCCTTGCATCGTACTGAGGTACATTCATGATATTCCCATTAAAAAATGAATAAACCTTACAGGAATAAAAACGTCTCACAGTGGATGGAATCTTTCGGCACCATCGTTTGATTTTTATCCTAGTTTTCGTGCTGAGGTATAGTCATAAGAATGACTGTCATTGAAAGTAAAGTGCATAATGTCTTCCAGAATTAAAAGCGTCCCATACAAGAAAGATCCTTTTGTTACCAACATAGAACTTTGATCCTCACATCATACTGAGGTGAACTCATAGCGAGAATTCCCAGTAAAAAGAAAATGGCTTAGAATGGAGAAAAGCCTTAGAATAATGAAAACGTCTCACAAAAAGAAGGATTCTTTCGCCACAAATTTAGGATCTTCTCCCCTACATTGCACATAACGGGGACTTACGTTAGAAGACGAATTAATATTACAATCTTTAGCTAATTCCTTTATTCGAAAATAGAGGATTTCAAAAGAAACTGTTAGTTTCATTTTCAACTCAAATGAAAAGTCTCATATCTGAAGATCCTTTTAACCAATACTGTCGGATTATAACCCCCACATCACACTCCGGTCCAATTCTCTCGGGATTTCCATTCAAAAGGGAGTCAAAAGGGAGCGGACAATTTCTTTCTCATTACAATCATTTTAGTTAGTAACAGGTATTTCTAAACGGAATTATTTTGATAGAAATATTATTATTATATTTTTTAAATGCTGATAAAGAAAATAATTTGAAATGTCTCTAAGTTGTATTAAATAAACTTTTCATTTTTGACTGCATTTATAGCAAATTCAGTTATTTTATTGAATCATACAAATTAAGAAGGATTAACTATGGACCATGAGCATTAAATGCTTTTATGGCGATTTCTTGAGAAACTGAATTCAAAGTAAATTTAGGAAAAACAGAAGATTTAAATAAAAAAATTGAAAGATTTCGGATATTAACGGTGGCCCAAAAGAGTTTGTGCTCTCGCTGAGCTTACAATCTACCGGTCTGCTGTTACACCTACTACTGCTAACCCCCATTTTTTTTTTTTCCTTTTCCTTTTTAGCTTACAATCTACCGGTCTGCTGTTACACTCACTACTGTTAAGCCTAATTTTTTTCTTTTTCCTTTTTAGCTTACTATCTACCGGTCTGCTGTCATATTTATTTATGTCATATTTATTATTATTATATTATTACTGCTAATCCTATTTTTTTCCTTTTCCTTTTTAGCTTTAGAAGGGAAAAGGAAGCTTTTTAAAGCTTTATTTACTTAAAAAGGAAAATTACAGTTATCTTTGAACCTACACCATACAAATTTAAACAGCAAAATCACAAAAATTTTAAAAGCAGCATAGAAGAACATATTTAGAATTTCCGATGCAGTACTAGGTGTTGGCATACAAGTTATTATTTATTTATTCTTTCCTTAGATTATCAGATAAATGTACAGTTTTCTTAGCAAGATGGCTTTCAATACCTTTTTTTTTGGGGGGGGGAGTTTTTATTATTGATGTGTTGTGTGTTCATTTTATTTATAAAATATCTTTTTTTTTTTTTTTTTTTTTTTTTTTTTCATTTACGCTGTGTAAAATTCAATTCAACATCAAAATCACAAAATATTCAAAAACAACATATCATTAGAATTTCTTATAGACAGTCTCGCACGTTGCAGATAAAACATTTTTAGTCCAAGGGGGCAATTTTCCCTGAAGGACTGTTAATTTCATTTTGGCATTTTGCGATGAAAACTTTAAAAGGCTGTGTAACTTTTCAAATCGTTGCTACCATATATTATCCCCCTGCCTTATATTTAAAGAAATTAAATAATGAAGAATCTGCACAAATGCATGTATGTTTCTCGCATTGTTATAAAACAACGGTACTTAGAGCCATCAAAATCTAAATAATGTAATCTTCCATAGAATATGGACATGTGGAAGTTTTAATTTGAATTTGAAATTTATTTTATTATCGATTTCAGATTTTGTAACACTTCAACTAATTTTTGATTAAAAATCTACTTGATTTCAAAGCGAGCAATGGCAACACTATGAAACAAAACATTTTTATCTAAAAAAAAAAAAAAAAAAAATTATCTCCAGCCCGTGAGACTTTGTATCGGAAATTCTAAAGATATGCTCATTTTAAAATTAATTTCCGATATTGCTATTGAACTGAATTTTATAGCTTGAGTACGTAGAACATGATATTTAATAAATAAAGGTAACACACAAAACATTAAAAATCGCCCCTTTAGACGTAATTTAAAATCCGAAAACTTTCAGATATTTTCTTTTTTTTATTCAGCACAGCGTTGCTATTACTTGCTATCTTGTATTTTGTTAATCAGTTAACTAAGTCTTGAGTATTTTAATCAAAACGTCATTAAAGGTTTTCAAAATATGAAATAAATAATAGAAAACGTATGCCGTCATTCTACGAAAATGTTAAATATTTTGAATTAGACAGATCATTAAAGAAAGGCATTTTTATTATTTAAATCAATCCGATTCAAACGTAAGAAGCAAATATTCTTAAAAAACTGCATCTATTGCGTTCAGATAGCAAAGTTAAACTACGTACGTTCGAAGAAAAATCGCCTTTCGAGACTAATAGCGCTTTTGGGCTTACCTGTTCAACTAAAATTCAGAAATTAAAAACGATAATAATGAATTTTTCCCCATGTTTAAACAATGTGCATTTAAATGAAAGTCAAAGAGGAATCAGAAACGAAATTTTTAATTTTAGGAAACGGAGGTAAATATTATTTCGCCTTAATCAATTGTAAAATGAAAAATTCTTCTCTGCATTCGAATAATCTTTAAGCAGATATTCAGGGAATTGGCTGTAGTTTAAACTGTAGCTCTATTAAGACTAATAATAGAGATAAATTATTCATACACCTTTCATTCATTAAAAATGTAAATCTTTATAGAATCTCTAAGCGAATGTGTTCATTTTCGTTTTAAATAAGGGAAGCGCAAGACAAGAAAAAATTTAAGGAAGATTATTAGGTGAATAAAAGCAAACACTACTTATTTTTTTATATAAAATATAATTTTTTTAGATAAAAATAATTAATAGTTATCTTTATGCCAGGCCATATAATACTGAAAATATGTATTCAAAATAAATTCCGCTTATGACGACCTATACTTTTTCAAAGGAAATGCTAGTATAATTAATAAGACTACAGGAAGTGTTTTATTCCAAATTAAATAAAAAATGGCAGCTTTGATGAAAGTTAAAAAATGTCTGCACTTATATGTAGTATTTAATTATTTATTCACATAAATAAATATGAACACAAATTAAAGCATGTGAAAAAGGATAATTAACGAGATAAACTTAGTTTTCTTTGCAAAAAAGCTTAAGAAT